TAATTTATATATAATACTAAACAGACGATAGCAAACTCAATTTAGCCGCTCCGTAGCGTGGCGCAGGGTTGGAGGAAAGTAGTTCGGCTTCTCATCCACTATTGGTCCAGACTCTATCAATCTTCTCGCGAAACGACGTTATAGGAGGTACATTATACGAAAGTTGCTACAATTTTTTCGCTACGTTATAGGAATTTCCGTTATAGGAACGTACGTTATAGGGGGGTCGACTGTATTTTGTTTTCATATTAATAAATTAGAGCTAATTTTTCACTCTGCAATTTTGTCTTTCTACTGATACATAGAATGATCACTTCTGTATTGAGAGAAAGCATTTAGATATTTAGATTTTATTCAAGGAAAGATGAAACAAAATACAGTGGTACCTCCTACTTCTAACACTTTAGAGTTTGAACACCAAATTTGACAGAAATTCACTTTGAAGTTCAAAGGATGCTTCAAAGTCCGAACTGCACATTCAGTGAAAAATGCACTCAAAGCATAAAATAAGTTTCTGAACAAAGAATACAATCTCAAATTAACAACATGTTAAATATCACAACTGTTATAATTAAATCACACATCTATGTTAAGTAACAACAGCTGTTAGCAATACACAAAAACTATCCAACCCAATACCACTTTTACTTGTTAATCATGTCATTCAAGAAGTGTTTGGCAGCAACAAAGACTAACAAGTAAGAGAAAGGCTGTAATATCCAATGATTCAGATGAAAAAGGAACTTATTGCAAAGCATGAAAGCAGAACATTGTGGCAATCTGGCAGCCATGTTTAAGATGCCAAAGATGATTGTGTATGACTAGTAAATACAATTTTTATTTTATTATACTGTATGTATTTTATTTATTGTTTTTGTGTTTAAATTTATTATTAGGGCATTTAATTATGTTATTTTTACCTTAAATTATGTGTATTTGCTGTTTTAAGTTTATCAAAATGGGTATTATTTAGGGTTTGGGAATGGATTAATTCACTTTTCATTACTTTTGGTGGAAAAAATTGCTTTGGAGTTTAAACAGCCTCCTGGAATGAATTAAATTTGAAGTATGAAGACCACTGTATAAAGCAGGACAGGGGTGGCCAACTTTTGTGTACATAAGATCTACTTTTTATCTTAAAAATGTGTTGCGATCGACTCGTTGTCGTAGGCGTAGTCTGTCAGGGATGGGCATTCCGCGGCCCAAGTCGCATAAAATGTGTATAAATATATCAATTTCCTAGCTTAAGAAGTATGCAGCAAAAATTCAAATGTTATTTTCAAATATTTTCAAATGACCATGAAAGTTCATTTTAGCAAATAAATCTGTGATGTCACTGNACAAGTATTGGAACCTATGATCAAAAATTTATTTCTAATTAATGATATTCAAAAGTAGTTTAATGAAAATGCCAAAAATTCATATTTTAGGTGAAAAAAGTTGTATAATTTAAAACATTTGAAAGGAAATCTTTAAATTATGTGTAAATAGAAAAGCAATTAATATATGCTAGTGCCAAGTTCAGAAAGTTAAATTTTGCTGACTTATTGTTGACAGTATGAAAAGAGTGATAAAACCATCCATAATTAACAAATCAATATAGTTTTAAGATGGAAGATTTGATCATGAGCTTGAAAAGAACATTTGATAAATTTTTTCCTACTGTTATATACATATATATGAAGAATATGGAAATATATATTATAAAAAAAATTATGAATGGTACATTAATTTAAGAAGTATGCAGCAAAAATTCAAATGTTATTTTCAAATATTTTCAAATGACCATGAAAGTTCATTTTAGCAAATAAATCTGTGATGTCACTGCATACAGACCAGTCTGCCACTAAATATGCAACACATTTAACTTCACATTCAGTTATCTCCATTTTGGAAACAATTTAATCATTAAGAACACATGATCTGAATAATAATATGAAACTGGTTAAAATCAGTTAAAATCTTACCATTTAATCTGTTTTTTCAAAATCTTACTATTTTGTATCTACTTCTGAAGTTTCTTTAAAATATAATTATTGCCTCTTGAAATATATCATTTTAAATTATTTTGTTACAGATTGCTCTACTAAGAATTACTTTTTTCATTTGAGAGATATTTTTTAAACTTTTTAAATATTTTTGCAAAATATAACAACAAATCTAAAAGATACATAAATAAAATAAAATTTATTTTATTAAAAGAGGATTAAAAAAAAGGCAATGATATTTGTCAACATTGTGACAGAAGCAAGTATTTAACATATGTAATCATCAAGTAACAAAAACATGTGTACTTTTGAAAGCTGTTTAATGTTTTGTAAGCTAACCTGAGCATTGCCTGATACATCAGCTACAGTAGAGCATCGATTATTTGAATATCGATCAACTGAGACATCGGTTACCCAAAAGCATTCTAGTTGGCAAATTTAAATTTTTGCTAGTGCTGTGGCGCTGCAATATTTGGCTATATCTTGGACTACTCCAATATTATTTTTGTTGGTATACATGTTTTAACTGGCAGCACTGGCGCGACCATGAGAGGGTACTTAAGGACAGTCCAGGATTTGAACAAATTTCAACATGGGATAGGTTAATATATTTTTTTTGTACATAATCGGTTATCCAAAAAAGCGATTATCCGAACAACCCCAGTCCAGGATCGTTTCAGATAATTGTTGCTCTATTGTAGTTATTAAATATATAACAAATAATGTTTATAAATAATATAATTATACTAGTTTTGTTATTTAAGAATAATTATTAAACAATATGAAAAATTACTTACTATAATAATAAATGCTGCAAGACATTTAAAATTTAGATACTGTTTATTTCTATATATATTATAAGAATTGAAATTAGTTGTGTGTATGAATTTTCAGATTTAAATTTATCTGCATCAGTTCTATTCAGATAATGTCATATACTTTTTTTTTTCTTTAGATAATAAAGATATTGAATCTTTACACACCAGCAGATGAATTTGAGGAACGAGTTCCAATTTCTTTTATACGAAAAATCCAAGTTTGTTTACATCAGAGAGATTTAGAAAAATGCCAGAATCAATCACCTGGTCAAGGCACACTTTTAATGGACACAAAATATGCTTTTCCTATACGCTTTCCATTTAATCCTTCCAGTATTCAGATGGAAGACATTGCCATTCCTGATTGTCTTAAACTTCCAATGTTGAAAAAAGTGTAATCAGGAATGAAATTAGTGTTTTTCTTGATTAACTTTAGATGTTGTATAAAATTTCCAAGATTTTATTCTGTTTGTTTATTACACAAACATCCAGTGCTATATACATATATACATATAAGTAACATTGAATTATGATTAAAATGTTTGCTGTCTATTAATATTATAAAATATGCAATATATGTATATATTTGTATGTAAATTATTTTTTCTTGTAATTTTCAAATTATTTATCTTTTTTGTTGCTAAACTATAATTATAGCAGGATGTTATGTGTAACATGATTTCATTCTGAATCAATGGGAATGGTAAGTTTATATGATTAAATATATTTTGAATATACATTAATAAGAAAAGTTTCAAATTTCAGTTGAAAAATTTTTAAATAATAATTATAAAATTAAAGTTTTGGAGCATTAGTTTATAAAAAATATTTTGCCAAGGATATAAAATGTTACATTGAGGTTATGAGAATCTATTAAGTTATGATTCATTGATTTTATCACTGAATTTGAATATTATAAAACTTCCTGGGACTTAGTTTTTCCCACTCATACATCATAATTTTTAGGAATGAATTTCTTGTACATTGAATTAAATATGTATAAATAATGAAGTTCTCTTAATTTATATTAATTAGTTTGAAAACCATCAAAGGAAGTTAACTATATTTAATAAATATTGAAAAGTAGCATTATTACTTTGGAAAAATTAATTTAAAATTAAGCATGCAAGTTTTTATTTTATTAAATATGTATATATATGTAAGTACAAGTATTGGAACCTATGATCAAAAATTTATTTCTAATTAATGATATTCAAAAGTAGTTTAATGAAAATGCCAAAAATTCATATTTTAGGTGAAAAAAGTTGTATAATTTAAAACATTTGAAAGGAAATCTTTAAATTATGTGTAAATAGAAAAGCAATTAATATATGCTAGTGCCAAGTTCAGAAAGTTAAATTTTGCTGACTTATTGTTGACAGTATGAAAAGAGTGATAAAACCATCCATAATTAACAAATCAATATAGTTTTAAGATGGAAGATTTGATCATGAGCTTGAAAAGAACATTTGATAAATTTTTTCCTACTGTTATATACATATATATGAAGAATATGGAAATATATATTATAAAAAAAATTATGAATGGTACATTAATGAATAAATTGGACTTCCTAAAATTTAAGTACAATTTTAAAATGTATATAAATAATTGTATAATTATTTCAATCATTTTAAATTGTGGCAATATTTTCTTTAATTTGTTATTTATTTAGGCTATATATCTGTTTTATTTTGGATAATTTTTATTTAAATTTATTTACAAATAGAACATTCCTGATAGTAATTTTTTTTTCTTTTGTAATATTTAATAGTATGTTTAAAAGTGTTTTTTGTTTATAATTTATTAGAAGTAAGTACTTAATTTTCTTTTCTTAAAATAAAATTTTGCAATAAATACATTCCAATTATAATATAATAGTTAATATGTTTTTGAATTTTATAATGTTATTGTTGGTAATAATATATTTACTTGTGTATTTATAATATCATTCAATTCTAAAATTTTTAGATATTATAAAAAATGTTGTATATAATTAATATATTAAAAAATTTATATGATTTATATAATGATATTTACAATCAATTTTGCAGCTTTTCAAGAATTATATTGAATAATAAAAGTCATTTTACGCTTTTTATTACTATTTGTACAAACTGGAAAGGTCTATACAAATTTGATTTAGTTTGCATAAAATTATATATATATATGTATTGTTTAAAATGCAATGATTGGTTTTTTTATAATTCTTAAATAACTTACTGACCATTATAAATGAAATATCAATAAATTTTTATTAAAAAAAATTATTATTGAATCATTTTTAAAGCTATTTTTTTTTATTTGAAAATATTATTATGTTTATAGTAATTTTTTTATATTTTTTATCATCATCCATATTGGGATAACATACAAACAAATAAAATAACCTTATAAAGCATATTTCAACTTCATTGGGAAAGAATAATTAAGTATAAATACCTTTAAAAGTTTTCATTTAAATTTTGTAAATCTGACAGATATGTAAGAAATTTTAAATATTATTATTTACTATAACAATATATCTTTATTTTTTATTATTATTAATTTTGTAAGATGTAAATCTAATTCATAATAAACTTTTTCCTATTTTTAAGTATTTGCTGTATTCACTTTTATAGAAAACTTGATATTCAAAAGATTTGATTATAAATTATACTATTGTGATATAAAAATTTTTATCCAAGAAAATTTTGAAATACAGGTATACCTCGCCTTTCGTCGGTAATTGATTCCAGGAGAGGCAACTTAAGTCTAAAAACAACGTAAGTCGAATTTACTTGTCACTAGGCTAAACCACAAATAACCATTCTCAGCTCTATATTTTATTTATAAATGCATTTTTAATAATATATGATTAATAAGAATCTATTTTAAGCTTTCAAATAAATAAATTTTAGTTTTTATTATAGTACAGGAAAAAAAGTAATCTAAATTTATGAATACATGTATGGTACATACATACTTGTAAATATACATGTTACAATTTGGCGATGTTTACAGTACATCACAGACTCTTTATTTGTGAATGTGGTTTGCTCTAAGAGATTATAAACTAAGATGATTTTATAAGGTTAAATAACAAATACAGTTATTAAACAGTAGATATTGGAACTACCGTGGAAAATGCCAATATTGAGCTCTTAAAGACTGCTAAATAAGATGACAACACAGAGTCACAGATGTTTTCATATTTCTTTTTCTACGATTTATGATGATTATATTAACATTTACTGTAAATGTATATATTTTAATATGATTTTATGTACTTTTAACACTTTTCTAGTGATATTACAATTTCAATATTTGTGGTAGACAGACGTAAAGTTGAATAAAATGACTTAAACTTGATTTTTATTTTTCCATATATTTTTTGACAAATGATGTATAATTGAGAACGACATAACTTGAGGTATACCTGTAATACAAAAATAATACATTGAAATGTAGAAATACAGTGGTACCTCAGGATACGAACGCTCCAGCAAACAAAATTTTCAGGATATGACATGAAATTCTAACATATTTTTGCTCCATGATACAAACAAAAACTTACCATACGAAGTTACATTAGTTTGCAGCGCCATTTTTTATTCACTTCTGTTCATTGGTCTCAGTCCACGTGTTTGCTTCGTCATGGAAGGATCTCGCTCGATGAAGGAAATCTCGAGGCATTATCAGAAAGTGACTGATTTTATTGAAAAGAAACATCCCAAAAAGGTTCACACTGGCCATATTGCCACTCGGAGTAATGACATTTGCCTAAGTCATTTTAGAAACATTTTAAAAAGTAGGCAAAGCCAAACCTCTTTGGATAGATATTTTACCAAGTGACTTCTATCCAGTGAAAGTGCTGGTGGAAGTGAAGGAAAGAAAGCAAAAAGCAGTGAATAAAAATTAAAATATATATNTCATACTAAAATTTAACTTACATAACATAATGTAACAATAACTTAAAAATAACTTATAATAACAAAAACAAATACACTGAGTTCAGCGTTACATGTGACGCTGAACTCAGTGTATTTGTTTTTGTTATTATAAGTTATTTTTAAGTTATTGTTACATTATGTTATGTAAGTTAAATTTTAGTATGATTTCCCTTCTTCTTCTTCTCCGCCACCAGTTTACACCTCACCTCGTCTATCCTCAAAGGTAAAGTGCAAATAAAACTAATTTTTTAAATCAATTATTATTCTATTATGGTTATTTATATATTTACAACTACAAAATGCATTTTTCAGTATTTTCCTTACTATATTTATTTTTTTACTGTACTACTTAGCTTTAATTTGAGTGTATTTTTTGTGTTGGAACGAATTATTTAGTTTTACATGTAATCGTATGGGGAAAAATGATTCACCTTACGACATTTTCATGATACGATCACAGTTTCGGAATGGATTAATTTTGTATTCTGAGGTACCACTGTATATATATCAGGAAAAATTCTTGATTTAAATTTGGGTGTGCTAAGTTATATATTTTTCTATAGAATAAAAATTATTTGTGATAAACATTTTAATATAGTAAACTGTTTATATGTAATTTTAGTATTAATTTTAGTTAAATATTTTACTGTAAACAAATTAAATCTGTATTTATTTTAGAATGAAATAATAATAATTGTTTTCATTATATAATTTACCAATATGCTGAAACAGTTGATAGTTGACACTGACACAGAAAAAAACCTTATGTACTTACTCCAGCAACATTTAATAGAAATTATAAATTTTTTGGCTGCCTTAAGGGACCTTCATCAGGTAAAAAAGCCACTTCACAGATAGAACATTCAAAAACAGAGAAACATTCCAAACAGAAGAATGGAATTTGAAATTTACATTATCAATTAAACAGCACAATATGATAAACACAATGAATTAACATAAATTTTAAAGCAATTGTATTTATCATATTGTGCTTAATTTACAATGTAAATTTCAAATTCCATCCTTCTGTTTGGAATGTTTCTCTGTTTTTGAATTCTATCTGTAAAATGGCTTTTTTACGTGAGGAAGGCCTCTTAAGGCAGCCAAAAAATTCATAGTTTCTATCAAATGTTGCTGGAATAAATATGGAAGATGTATTTTTATGAATTGAATGCATTTAGCTTGAATTTTAATATTGAACATTAAGTTAAATTGAATTATTTTTGAAATAATTGTTCTGACTAATTATTTTGAAGGTTTAATATAAAAAGTTAGCTGTAATGCTTCTAGTGTCTTATTAAGATCATAAAATAAAATTTTTGATTTTTAATATCAAATATGCCATGTAAGTTCTTCATGTAGATTTATTTTTATTTTAAAGCTTGCTTAGCAGACTTTTCAATTTTCTTAATGTAAGGCTTTCAACTTGTGTGATACTTTTAGATAATTTTAAAGCTTGCAAGATTCAACTTTGGAAATTGTCCCAAAAAATAAGGGACAATTTCCAAACAAAAAATAAATGTTTTTGTTGAAGAATTGATGATAACTTAATAATTTTTGAAAACATCAAATGTGATTACTTTTTGTTAATTAAGTAAAAAATTTAATTATTGTTTGTTTTGTTTGGTTATGGCAATGCAACACTTGAGTTATCTGCCTAGGGGGGATGACTTCCAGGAGGTCTTTTTAAGGGAAACTGGCCCCTATTTAGGTGTTACAGAACCTGGAAAACTCCACGTGACCAGCCTATCCGAGCGAGGCATAAACCCATGACCAAACTCCCAGTGTTCAGGGAATGAAGACCACTTGGCCACTGGTGGGCCTAAATTATTCTTATTAGATTTTTATATTATATTCTATATTATATATATATTATAGAGAGACTGTTTAATGGCCACATCAAATTCAAATATAATGTCTTGTTTAATTCAAATTTTTTATTTCTGTTGAAGTATCAAGGAAGAATTCTGGTCATTGCATGTAAAAACAGACTTCAATTCTCTCCTTTTTTTTTTAAAAAAAAAGTGTTATGAACTGCTTTTAAACTTTTACCTTTGATGAGCCGAGAATTCTTTGCCTGTTCCAAAATAAATTAAAGACTAACTTCACACCCCACCCAAACTTATCCCTAGGCTAAGAGTGATAGAAAATGTACTTTTAAAATTCTAGCTCGAAAATATCTCTGGCAAATATTAGGTTTGTTCCAACACAAGTCCCTAACTGGCATGTGCATTGTTCAGTTCTTGGCTGTAAAATGACTATTGCGCATGCCTCGTATTTATATTATATATTGTATCAGATACAATGTATCTTTTGTAACTTAATATTATTAATGTTGGTATGTATTATTATTTAATATTCTTACTTTTATGAATTATTTTTGCAATTAATATAGACATCAGACTCTAATTATTTTTGGATATGCCACATGTGATTATTGTATTACTTTAATAATATATCATGTACGACACGTTTACCTTCTAATAAAAAAAAAATATTTATTTTCTACTCATAATAAAAAAATCTAATTTTTTTATTTCTAAGTATAACATCCTAATTTTAAAATGTCCAGGTCAGCAATTTTCAAAAAGGGTAGCAACATTATCAAAATTTGATTGATCAATTTTGATTAAACTT